TCAGCAGGACATGGATCAGGGCGTGTAGGCTCAGCTTGCTAAGACATTTGTTCCATTAGAAATCTAAACAACGGGAGAAAAGAATCTAAGGTTTACTATGAAAAAACTTTTAGAATCTTAAGGGGCAGCTACATCCTTACATTGGAATCCGGCAACAGAGTAATCTGTGCATAAACCTCATCTGTTTCTTGTTCGGCCTAAACATGTCAAAATTCAAGGTAACTTTTAGTTTTCCACCTTCATCACACATTCCCATAACATCATATTATATAAATAACTTAGTACCAAACTATACATAACACCAGATGATTGGACCACTCCTCTAAAATGAACAATTCACTCTAGAGGGTAAAGTAACTAATATCAGTTATTGATGAGAAAATTAATAGTCCAATATTACACACAATTTTACATGGTACTAATTATTGATGAGAAAAGTAACTAGCAGAAATTAATTTATTAACACCTTAAGACCAAATTTTACATGATACTAACTCAAAATCCAAGATAATTATTTGACCAATTTTTCAACAACCAAGCTAGATTTTACATGGTACTAATTATTGATGAGAAAAGTAACTAGCAGAAATTAATTTATTAACAACTTACATGATACTAACTCAAAAACCAAGATGATTATTGGACCAATTTTTCAACAACCAAGCTAGATTTAATCATTTTATTTTCCTCAAAAAAGATAAGGGGGAGGAAAAGTGAGATCATAGAGAAAATCACCAGTAAATGGACGTTGACGACACGACAAAGGATCTTGGAGGGAAGTTTGAACAGCGGAATCCTTTGATTTAGTTCCTGATTTGTTGATACTTCTAACTACAGCCGCCAAAAAAATAAAAAGTAAAAAAGCAGCTAAACAAAATTAGAAAGAAAAAAAAAAAACCAAAGAATCAAGCATCCACATCCAACAACACCAACAAAGATTTGGAAACAAGCCAGGACCCCAGATTTGCTCAAACATGAAATAAGAAGAAACTAACTTGTTCCATGTGTCCCTGAGGGAAGTAGAAGACCCTTTGGCCTGCACGAGGAACTTCGACATGGGGTCCCGCGCAAGCCTTCCACTGTTGCTCGTAGAGCTCATCTTCTTCTCCAGCAGTGGCAGCAGCACGGTTAAACGACATGGTTGAAAGAAAGTGTTGGAAGCAGAAAAAGGTGTTGTTTTTGTTGTGGGTTCAGC